CCAGGAATCGAACCCGAGACCTCAGCACAGCAGTCGCATACGCTACCACTGTACCACTGAGGCAGACCAATTAGATTGTATAAAAGAGGTATTAAACAATGTTTGCAGTTTATTAAATTAGTGATATAAGAAATAATGGATGTCATACCCATTGGAACAATGTATTTAAAAATCTGATTTAATTGTTAAAAACAAGTAAATCAGTTTTTTTGGAAATGCGTTTCTTGTGTAGGTGCATGTTTCTTAATAATATATTGGAAATTTTTAAGGATTTCTATTAATTGAGAAGTTGATTAAAAAAAATGGCAATCAACATCGTTGGGATGTTGCTGGAACGTCACTAATGTTATGAACATGTCGATGATAATTAAATACCTACAGTTTTATTCATGTCAGCCCTCCCCATTACAAATTTCTGTTCCATCAGTAAATTGTCAAATACAATTTGTCGGTTTCAAAACGGAATTGTTTTATTTAAGGTCACGTATTCTTTTAAGACCACTGTCCTGTTAACCAACTTTATATTAACAAAAATATTTTTGTTTTGTAAAATGGTGTGCGGCGTACAATATATAATAGTGGGCGGACATCAATTGCACCTCGTTTAACATGACGGCCATTTATAACAAAAACGTCAGTTTTGTAAGGCTACGGAACTGTTAATATTTTTTGTTGTCAGAGTTAATTTTGGCTTTTGACGTAGGTGGTCTAACCAGCTTCAAAACTTACATAAAGAGGCACTACCCTTTAGCCAGGCATTAGGTTTTATTTTTAAACATTATTCGCGATAATTTTCACAAATTTTTGTCGCCTCAATTTTGATTTGATATTCCTAATTAACCAGCTCTTGGACTATAAATTTATCTCTTTGATATTAACTTAAAAAAATAATAATGTATATATCACAGGACCTCGTTCTAATCTCACTCTCTTCGGTTCAACTCTCAAGTAGAGTCTCTCGCATACTAACCGCCGCACTACGACTCCAAAAGCCTTGCCCAACTTTATTTTTTACACTGGTTACAGCGGTTCTTCGCTTGTTTTAATCGTGACAATTGTGACCTAGTTTGTGTAACTTATCTCCGTCAAAGTTGGCAGCCTATCCTCACTTGCAATTTGTGCATCTGTAACAACATACTAAACACTCGGAACGAACCACGAGCTAATTAACGGTCTCCTACGTTGTCGTCTGAGTCTGCTGAGAGCTCCGTTTGTACTTATTTGTGGATTGTGAGATGTATAGAGTTGTACATTGTTGTTTGCATACAAAAGGGATTCGTATCGAATAAGCAAACATAACTCGATATAATTCGTACATTGTTTGAGCAAACGGCATTGGCGTGCCCCGTTTGCTGTCAAATCTGTCTTTTTATGTTAGAAATGCTTGGTTATCCTTCAAATGCTACTAGGATAGATAGATTGCTATCATCATCATTATCAACAGCCTTTCATAGTCCACTGGACTCATGGCCTCTCTGGAATATAGGCCTCTCCTTAGGAAGGAGGTTTTGGCCTACTATAAATTGCTATATGAAAATATTTTTAATTCTAATTATAAATATATAAGTAAAGTAAAATCATATATAAGTAATCAATCTCTAACATTCCCACTGAAAAGTAAATAACAAAACACCACTAGTAGTTACTGATATTTTTCGTTAAGGTGGCGGACATTTACTATAGTGTATCCGTTATATAGTATATCCGTTGCGTAAAGTTCCGCCGACTTATACTAGATAGTAGGGATTATAGTAGAGGCACCATTGTGATGTAGTGTTACTGCAACAGATACAAAAGCTTTGCAATATCAAATCGGATAATAGCGATAACTCGTAAACTGTTGGACTTGCAACTACTCAACTTAGCTCCTGAACCTCACTATATCAATCAACTCTGGTCTGGTATCATGGTATTATTTTAATATGCCCAAATTATTTACTTACTTCCATTAAAAAAATTATAGTAGCAACAACGACTTTGTTGAAGAAAGCAACAAACTCGTTGCTGCTGTTTGTGAAGAACATTTAAGGAAGTCGATGTTCGAACGTTCTTTCTACGGGTATAGGGGGCAAAACAACAGACAGGTGGCGTGGTAGTAAGTTACTAGCGCTGCTAATGAATACTTGCAATATCATTTTATCATCATTACATTTCATTTTCAATTCTCGATCGATATATATTATGATGTAATCCAATATTGCGAAATGTGTCCATGTTTAGTTATTTATGTACACATTTGTAGAAGAATTAAGGTTATTAATTCTTCTACAAATGTGTACATAAATAACTAAACATGGACACATTCGTTGGACACATGGACACATTAATCGGTTGATTAGTTAACAGTCTAGCCTTTTTCCTAACTTTATAGAATACAAAATTATAGAAATGCCTTTGAAAAAGTGCATTTTAGGCGGCCAGAGATTTCGTACATCAGAAAGGTGTGTTTCTTGTAGGATTCTTATTATTTGTGCATTCACCTCGTTAGTGGTGAGTGAGCTATTCTGAGTATAGCTCAGGGATCGTATGAAATAAAATAAAACTTGACTTAAATATTAAATATTTTATTTGAAAACAAACTTATTCTGTTTATGTATACATATAGTTTCATGTCTTACATACACATATATACTCTTCGTATCGTACAACTCGTAGTGTTCTCCTCTACTTATATCAACTTTATTGTAAAACTTTGTCTATTTCGTATTTACAATTTATTCTATACATAAACATTTTACTTTGAATGTTCGTCATTTACAATTAACCAAACGTTACATTGACACTTACAACTAAACGTTCAGAAACGCCGGAACAATCACATAACTATAGTTATATTACACAGTGGGTAGACGACGACTTTTATTCTTAAACATTAATTAATCAAAGTTTTTATTATAAATTATTGATTAAGTACATCTGTACTGAAAATTGGCAATTTAGCTTTGTCTATGGTATAGAGGGGCGAACGAGCAGACCGGTCACCTGATGGTAACTGACTACCGCCGCCCTTGGACCACGCGGCTCAAGAGGAACTGGTGTGTTGCTGCCCTTCAAGCCCCCCTCAGTATCAAATAGTTTGGGTTCCTCTCACTCAATTTGCCTCTCAATTTGCGTAACCAGACGAGTTCTGCTCTAAACAAAATGTCGTAACATATTCTTATACATATTCTTTGCTGATCAAAACTTTGGCAATATATATAAAGTATTTTATCAGTAACATTGTCAAAACGGTCGTCGCCTATCGCATCAACGAATTTATCTATCGTTAAAGTTATAATTATCTCTAGTATATACACTAGACTCATTACCGAGAATATTTCCTCCAACGCACCGTGTACGAGATAAGATTTTTTTGTGTGCCAACACACGTATAATTTCTTTAATTTATAATTTGTTCACCCAGATTAGGATGCTTGCAACAGTGTGCAATTGTGTAATTGCATATGCTTGTTACAACTCCGACTGTACATGTGTGCAGTAGTTCAGTGCCGAGACGGCTATGTGTGAGAGACACAGTGGGTAGTGCAGCCACGAGGTGGGTTTAAAAACGCATATTTATACAGTAGCATACGCATCGTTCCTCACATTAACAATGAGAACTGTAAATATCAATTGAAGTTTATAGGAATTATGACTATGTAGTGACAAATAAATTTCTAAGTTAATTTTTTAGATTTTTTAACATAGAATGTTTTATCGAGTTTCAACCACAATGGCAACAATATCAAGAAAATATTTTAGAGTATAGAAGAAAAAAGTGAAATGACGGTGCAAAATACCAAATTTTATGGAAAATTAGGAGTCTTAAGGAAAAAAATACAAATCAAATCTATTGATTTAAACATTATATACTATATACATATATTTTAAATACTATTTAGCCACATATATAACAAACAGAGTGCATTGCATTATTGTACAGATGTTTAGTGTTAATACCGTAGGATTTATTTAACTATAAATTATGTTTACAATTTTACATTCTTATGTATGAAATGAAATATAATTATCATTTTTTTAGCCGTGACAAAATTGCTCTAAAGGCGCGAAGTCCTGGTGATTTTAATATTACATAAAAAATATGTCAAATTTTACTTAAAACAGTCCTAAAGCAGCACTGCAGTACTTAAAGAACGTACAGTAATTGCATTGTACCGTTACTATTTTATTCATTTTAAAATAATAGGAATAATAATGAATAATACTGGAGTCTTACCCAAAGAAGAAAAACATAAATCACATTTAAAATTCAAATAATTAAGTGGTAATTTATTAAGTGGTATAATTAGGAATATACGATTTCTTTCTATTAGTTTTAAACCTGACTAAACTAGTCAGGCATTCCTGAAATACACAATCGTAAATCCGTATATTCCTTAATTACATTTAAAATTATATGTTAGTTGGTATAATGTCTACGACGTTCTCGTATCGTACCGATAGGTTCAGAACACAGCAGAGTCTTATTGCGATCATAATTTACCTACGGGATTGAGTTAACTAATGACAGAGCATGCCTTGCACCGTGATCGACTCAGGCAATATCTGTTAAATATACTATCTCCACGATTGAAACAAAATCAATATATTTACAATATGTATTGTAGTAGCAACAAACGCTATTTTAGAGTTCAATTCATTAACCTTCACTATATTCTCGTTAACTTTTTATTAGTACACAATTGTAACCGCACAGGGTCGGGTAGACACACTTGCCAGAGAGAGTGAACTTGAATCACAGTGATTTGAATCTACGCTTTACTCTTTGCTCATAAAAATCTTACCATACTTCTATAAATAATTTATTTATTTCCTTATCTAGTCGAAAACTAAGTTTTCGCCGGTAAAATTTATTATTTAGAGAGAAACCTGCGGCGTGTATGTCCGCAAGCCGCCCGCACGCACACACGCACAGCGTCACCGACACGCACACAAAGACGCACAGTGGAGTCCGGGAGCGCGGGGCCCTAACGCGCACAGCGTTGGCGGCTCGCGCGCGATCAGCTGGCGAGTTGCGCGCGCAGCATTCTCGCGTGAAGCACGCACGCCACCAGCAGCGCCACGATGCACCGTGAGCTGTTCGACAACCCCGCCGATCCCGTCTGCATAGCCGCCGGCCGCTCGCCTGCAACATCATATCCGTACTCATTAGTGTCGTGGCCAACTACGTGATGAGATAAACAGATTTACACAGTGAGAGATGGCTCGTCGTAATTGGGTAACAAAGACCGATAGAGGAGTTTTAATGGAGCTAAATTGCCCTCAAATTACCGATTAACTAAATTGGCGAAGATTCTTTATTCGTTAAGCGCGTAATAACTCTTACTTATCTGAACTTGATGAATACCACGCTGTAAATTATGATTTCATTTTGGGGAATTGTAAATAAAAAAGCCGTGTGGTGTCGTGGGACACCCGATAGGAACGAAGTTGTGACGATCGAGTAAAACTGATTAGACACGATTTTAATTACCTACATATTTTTCAGCTAGTTTCTAATTGAAACAATTTATACATTGGTAAAATCTCCTTGAGAAATGATTTCCTATCTATTCGATAGATGGCGCTGAATGACTGATAAGTGACAATTCAAAATAAATACTGAGTTGAAAAGTAATGATTTCCTATCTATTCGATAGATGGCGCTGAATGATCGACATAAAAAGTGTCGTTACAACTTTTCGTGAGATTTTTTTCCGTCTAGCCCCCTTTCACAACGCGCGATAAGGAACTTCGTTCCAAAATATAATTTGAAAGCTGACGATCATTCTTAACAGTGCACCAGAGTCTCGAAACTTGTGACTTTTGACTTTCTTAACACCAGTCCTACACAGGAATATAATCGTTTTCAGACAGGAAAAACGAAGAATTTGAACCAGGATAAAGAAACGGACAGAGTGAGTGAACTAGTCGTAGTAGTAAGAGCAAGGATCGGATGGGGAAACGGAACTGAGACTCGGTAGCTTCAAAAAGTCGGGGTTGGATATCAATTTCACTCTGACATAGGGTCAACATATACGACAGGCAAAAGATAAATTCTCGTAATACGTTAAAGTATGAAACTGCCGTTGCATAGTAATAGATACTTTGAATTGACATAAAACCTTCTCAGTGTGAGATTTTCGTGTGTAACTTTTTCACATGATACCTATGATAGTGTCCTTTGAAAAATTTGCAACATTAAGTTTTTGGCTAAACTTCTGTTGCCTTGTTGAATCGGTTTATCGGTGAATCGGTTGCCTTGTTTACGATAACCGTAAGCGAAGAATGCAATGGCTGACCCCAGGTCAAACGCCGCAACAGTGCCCTACAGCAAAGCCTACCAATAAAAAGGTAATGGTTAGTGTTTGGTGGTATTTTCATGGTGTTATTCACTATAGCTTTCTCAGGTCTGGTCAGGAAATAACAGCAGATGTTTACTGTGCCCAACTTCGAACAATGATGGCGATACTGGCATAGAAACAACGCCGTCTCGTGAATTGATCTTCACCATTATTGCTCCATGATAACGCAAAACCTCACACTAACGCAAAACCACATACAGAGAAACCGTTGTAACTCTACAGGAGCTGCAGTTAGAAACTATACGTCATCCTCCGTACTAGCCAGATCTTGCACCAACGGACTACCATATTTTTCATGATTTGAAAAAAAAACTACATGATAAAAATTTGAATTGTGACCGAACTTTTATTGTGAGAATTGACCTTCTGACAGCCCTGGTGAGGTATAATCAACAAAAGTAATCACAGGTGAAAATAAAGATGGACTTTGTAGAAGAACTGCACTAGAAAATAGCAAGTACGTACCGTTGAGCACGTGGACGCGCACGGAGGCCACTTCCGCATTGGAGGGCGAGCACGAGTAGCGGCCGGAGTCGGCGGGCGCGGCGTCTTGCACGAGCAGGTAGGAGGTGGTGGCCGCGCCCTTCTCCGTCACGACGGACACGCCGCCGCGCGACGAGTCGTACGATATCACCTGCTTCACATCATATACACACACATACATTCACATATCTGCTTGTTCCATGCTATCATATTTATATTCTAGTACTAACTACTATTTATTATTTTATTGTACACTGAGAAGAGTTAATGCCGAGGCTAACAAACACGTTTCCAAGTGCGATATTTGAAACACTGTGTCATCATATTCGGTATATGATATAATGGCATGCGTACAGAATTGTCCAGGAGTTTATTTGTAAGTGATTTACATTGTCAATGTCGATGTTGGCCTTTGTCCGTTAAGTAGTTACAAATTGGCTTCACCTGTTTCGCCGTTTTTTTCACAAATTTGTTCTTGAAATATGTTTAAATATAGAGAGAATTAACATAGAGTTAAACACAACCTGGTTTACAGTACCTACGAGTAAATATACTGTAAAAATGACACAGCTTTTAGAAACATTGAAATACAGAACTCTAGTATTGCGAGTATTGAGTTTAAGTATTTAGCTAAGTTTAAAGGTTTAAACCTGTAGTTAAAGGCTGTGCTTCTCTTATATAAATTTCAGTTTTTTCTAGAAACACAAGTGAAATATTTATACGTATGAAGAAAAATGAACCGTTAATCAAAATAACGAACAATCCCATTGTGTGCACCTGCCCCGCAGAGATAATAAACCGTAGGTAGTATATGTACGCGTGCATGTGCCGGGTCCCTGTGACCTGGACGCGATCCAATTACCTAAAGAGCGACGAGGCGATTGAAACCCGGCTAGCTCTATTAGTTGCTCACTTTAGCGTTTATAATTGATCCACCTTAAACTAGTTTCACTAAGCCTGCACTTTCACTATTAGAAAACCGCACGACAACTTGGGTTCAATTGGCTTCCTCAAAAGGTAAAAAGGACGAGTTCGGTATATCCTCGTTACATAATGTCTAAGTGAATCAAAATATTGGCTTGTTGAGTTGAGTCCTCGGTGTGGTGAGCACGTGAACCGACAAACCCGTTGAGAATCATTATGTAACGAATCAAAGGTTTTCCTTGCAGCCCAGAAAATATCAATACATAATGTATCCACTCAGGTTCTAGCGTAATAGAGATTTTGTGTGACATGTGGGAGGTCATTGATAGCGAGATGTCATGGGATGATTCAATTATGAGGAGGAGTGTGCGCGCTGAGGCCGGTGCGGTGGGAGGCTTGTTGGTAACTAGTGCGTTAGTATTCAGGCGTGTTAATCACTTATAGAAGTAATAAAGCTTGGGAATTACACCTCGCGGCTAATTAATATGCTGGGAGCAGAACGCACGTGGCGGCGCGGCTTGGTGTCGTTACATCGACGACAAATTGGTGAACGTAGCTAATTAGCTCAGCGTATCGTTCCACAATGAACACTCTTTTTAACAAACTAGTTTATATTTTTACAGTCTCTATTGAATATTAAAATGGGTACAGTTGCAAAAATAATTTACAATAGCTAACATAACACTGTTTTTTTGTTGGTGAGGATTTGCCACGACTTGAGAAGGTAAATTATGGCATCAGACGCGTGATGTGGTGGGGCTTTGTGAGATTATCAGTGTGACATGTATATCTACAAAAGGTCGAAAACTAGATTATCTGATGAAACGTAACTTGACCTTTCTCATACCCTGACATTAACAGGTAATTATGATCAGTTCAGCACTTAAAGTTATCTAAACAATTTAATATATAAAATCTCGTATTACTGTGTTTGTTATCGAACTACTCCGAAACAGCTTAACCAATTTTTATGAAATTTTGGAACAAACTTCCTTATCTTTCTTCCTTAGCTCTGAGGGATGGGATGGATGGATGGGAGCGAGATCGAAAAATGTGTAACAAGACTTTTTTCCAAAACGTCTACCAAAACGGGAAAGGAACTTCTTTCCGACCTGGGGCTCATAGACCCCACATACCGTTTTTTTATGTATATTTCGTAGGTCTGAGAATAGATCGTAAGCTATTTTTTATACCCCAAGGTGGTAAGGGTGACCCTCCCTAGATTTTTGTTTGTTTTTATTGTAAATTTGTCACTAAATAAAGTACATTGAATTAAGAAAATGAATGGTTAGTGTTTTGTTATTTTTATAGGCCGTCATCGGCCACAGCGCTCCATTCCTCATTCAGTTATAGACCCTATCCCCACATACTTACAATTACTACCAGAATATTCACTGGAAATGATTTATAAGGCAAAACAACGTCTGCCGGGTCAGCTAGTATAAAATAATAATAACGTGAGACACTTTACACACGGCCCGCGGATCCCAAACTAGGCAGGCTCTGTACTACGGTACGCTCAATACATACACATTAAATTCATATAAACGACATCTATATATCTGTATTTGTACTTTCGTGAATTGTGTGCAGCACTCTACAATATGGACACACATCGTCTTACGTCGTTATCGATCCTACGGTAATGACCATTGCGGAGGCCTTCCCATTAATGTATAAGATCTTAGCTACACTCACGTGGATACTTCTGTACACACAAGTGTCCCACTACATATTGCAATATCATCGATTTGCTTGAATAAATTATCACTGTCTGTAGATTCACAGCTGAGTGTAAATAGCGGTAGCGTAATGGCTTAGGCGTCGCACTTGCGATCGAGTGGTTCGAAACACACCCAGTATATTATCCATTGGAATACCCTCCGAATTCAAGTCTCTTAGCTTAGTACGAGGGATTAAAGAAAATACTGGGTAAATATCGTCACTAGAACCTTTTAAAATTGAATATTGCACACATATATCGCTAATTGTTATGCTTCTGTAATAACCACGTAAGTAGAAAAACTAAGATCCAGAGTTTAAGGTTAACTTCAGTGTTTACGAAAACAATGGTTTTATGTAACATTGATTTTAAAATCAAAGTTATAAAATGGGCATTATAAGTCACGTTTTAAATCTGACGTCAAAGAACTTAACTTTGAAGTGATCATGTTGGTCCTTCGAGCCGAATTAGATCCAGCGATAAACAGTTGCTCAATAATAATTATTTGCATATCTAAAGTTCTTTTTAATTCACTACAAATAATGATTTTCATACATATTCAAGTATTATTTAAAATAGAACATATTTCAATTACGTCTCTTTGCCAAGTGATTGTTCATTCTTATCATTATGTAATACTTCGAAGTACTGTATCCATCCAGCCAAACCGGAGACAAATTGTAAACAATACATACGAGTATTTCAGGTATCTCTATTGTATTTTTACAAGCAATAATGATAATATTATCTGATACGAGGGTATATTTTACTTCAGATTTTGATTACAGATACATTGTGCGTGTTGATAGAACTTTTAAATTCAGATTGAGTGCTTTATCTGTTTGCCACTGAACGATTACTAATAACTAAATACTCTAGGCACATTGCTCCTGGGATTCGAACCCAAGGAGCTCTTAGAAGTAATATCTAAATATAAAACAAAGTAATAAGTGGTTGTGTATAATTACTTTGCGTCCGCTCACCTCGTCCTCGTGGTACCAGAAGATGTAGGCGGGCGGCTCGGGGCTGAACTGGATGAGGCACGTGAGATTGATGGTGGAGCCCATGTCCACGTGCAGGTCGGGCCCTCCCAAGATCCGCGCAGACGGCACTGTAACACAAAATATACAACAACATCACAATGATGCCTACAGTTTTTTTTATGTTAGAGGGGGCAGACGAGCAGACACACATAAATGTACATGGAGTTATGACATCACTACTTCTGTAAAATGACTTAGGGAAAAGTGAGATATTAATCTTATGCAATAAATACTGCTGTGAGACACAGGTACAGAAATATATCCGATAGGATATAGACTTTTTTAGAGTAGTTCCATTTTATAAATGTTATTTTTGTAAGGGGTAAATTGATTTACTCAAGAATTTCATACGTGGGATAAAATACATATGTACAACTAGCATCGTCGTGTGTGTATTATTTTGTATCCCTCTGGAACAGTAATTATTTGAGGATTAAATCAACCTCCCCTCATTTCAAATCAATGATTATTGGTTCCGTTTTTACATCCCGAAAGCGTAATAATAATATTAATTCCGTGTGGTTAATAATATTAATTCGATTAAGGTCAAATTTTCTTTATAAAATACATTATAGCACTAAGCGAGGAATAGCGAAGGGTGGAGTAGAGAGTACAAGTCACTGATCACGCATCTGATGAACTTGTTTCATTCGGTAATAGTAGGTTATCATCACAATGTGACAAGAATGTTAAAAATGTCTAGGTGCATAAGTAAATCAACTAAATAGTTTGAAGTGAGGATTATGTTTCCTTTTGTTGTTTAATATAAACTTAGTCTTTAAATGTGCATTCTGCTATTACTGCTTCTCTCCTTTTGCTTATGCGACAAAAATATCATCATATAAATCTATCTCTGTTGATGGCGTGCTTAAATTAACCAATTATTTTACAGGTTTGAGTTAAATATTTTGAAAAAAAATAAAATGCTACCAGGCCTAATACAATTTTGTAGCGATCACTGTGCTAAGCATAAAGACTTAATAAAATATCCATAATCTTTATATTTTGACGTAAATCAATAAACGGCATCGTAAAACTCTGTGCTCCGCGCAATAGCATGGTAAAAACTAGCTGTTGGCTTGAATTAATTCGTTTGAAAAACAACGTGACTGCACGTGCACTGCACACATACCAATGCACTGATAATCTAGTCTCGTTGTACCATCATCTCAAAAAGAACTGAATATCAATAGGTTTGGAGAATTGCTCGCAGAGTTTTTATCGTCACCTCCCGCCGACCGACACCAGCCGAGCGCTCAGCCAAATGTGAAAACGTTCTGTAAGCTCACGCCCAAATGATTGGATCCGATATTTGTATTCAGATACCAGGAACTTTCTGTTATTATTCAAATTTCAACTTTACGCACCAAAAGTGTTTTCTCTTTTATTTCAATATTATTCTATATCAGATCCGATGTACGAGTGTGTACTCGTAGTCTGGTTTAAATATTATACGCTTTTAATAAGTGCGGTGCAGTTAAATGCATATGATGTATGTAGCGGGGCGTTTGGAAATATTGGTTTAATTCATGAAAGTTATACATTATGCAGCGACGCTATGAAGGAGTGTGCGTGGCCTCGACGAGGGTGGCTCAGAGGGAGGAGTGAAGAGGTTAGAGAGTGACACATTTGCAGTTCACTGTCCTCATTATAAGCGGCTCAATGCACTTAGTTTCAAGTGCACGCTCCAACCGCCGCTTAACCATGAATAAACGCGCGTGGTTCTACTTAATTGCGACGCTAAATGCAAATGGCGGCGTTTACTCTGGTAATGACGTAAGCGCCTCACGAGGAGTTAGATGAGCGGTGTAGTCTGCGCACGCGCCGTGGACATCCACGTTTCTCTCAGATGGCTTGAGAAAGTTATTTTAGTGAGCTGTAAACGTGTTTTACGAGAGATGCGGACGACATCAAGTGTGTGTTTGTTTACAGCGGCGACGCTCCGCGTGGCCATTTAAGTACAGTTCTTGGATTAAACACTAGCCGCACGAACGGCTCCATTCCGACCGAGAGTTTGTTAATACCATAAAGCTGGAATTGAATGACGTCACTTGTTTACTTGGTTTCATGTTATTGCTGCTGATGGGAAGTCTGTAGAACGAATTTAAGAGGACGCCGTAACGTACTTATACATTTCTTTGTAATTGTGAGAATAATAAACAAATTCTTCGTTTGTCTGTTCGACAGGATGATCATGTTACTATTTAAAATATCTGCATATAGTGTTTTTGTTGCTTCAGAAAAGCTTCTTTTTTTCTGGGTAAATTATAAGTTTAGTAGTTAACAAAAAACACAACGACAAACCACTTTCGCATTTATCATATTGCATGGGGCTACAAAAATGCCCAGATGGTTGCACCATAATCTTTGTTTTTTAATTACTGGCAATCACAATGCATTACTGCTCACAAATATATTAAGGATATAACTAAACAAAGTACAAAAGCTAAAACGTAAAATCTGTTCAGTTATGGAGCTACGGTTTTTACGAACGCTACGACGTAGCATGTTACATTTGTTTTAGCTACGAATAACTGGGGATCGTTCTATTCAGGGTTTCATTCATCCACTTATTCATACTTGTATGCTATCAAAATGAAGTCAAAGCTCTTATTTTATGAAATACTGTTTGAATGTTAAACACCAACCACTAGTTCCGACATCATTGTATCTAAAGACAATTCAAATTGGTCTACATCAGAGATTCCCAAACTATTTTAGGCAACGCCTTTTATTTATTTGTGACCCTTTTTCCAAAATGAACTGCTACCTCAGAGATCCCCATAGCTAAAGTTCTTTAAAATCCTATCTCTACTATTTTTTTCTATTGATACAAAATACTTGTAAATTGAAAAACTTTGCCATTGGTTGAGTGAGTAAACTTGACATCATTTTCTCATCAAAATTTAACAAAATAAATAGACATATTAGTCGGTCTTGTAACAAGTTGGTACACGTAATATAACTTATACAGTATCTTGAAAGTTTAAATTAGAATTTGTGTTAATTAACAGTGGTCGATTTTCAGACTTTTTCGACCTCCAATATCAGTTTTTGTTTATGCCGACTCCTTTGAAACTGATTTCGGCCCCAAGGGGTCGTCAATATCGAGCACTTTGGGAATCCCTGGTCTACCTGGTAAATAGGTCTAGCAGTTGTTAATTGCTTAACAGACATGAAAAAATTTTGATGAATAAAAAGTTCAATCATAATAAATCATATTTATCAGAACTACAATTTTAATGATGTAACTGGTTTCACTAGTTACTAAAAATTGTATTATTATTATTAGTGTTTAATAAATAAGCCCCTCCAGCGGCATAAAAGTACATTGCACCTTGTATCAAACGAGAAGGGACAAGCTTTTGATTTGGATTGAAACTGTGATCAATATTTGTACAGTTTGTGATGCAACTGAGCATCGAACTAAAGCGCCATTAACATTCAGCTGAGGCTGCGGAGATTAAACCTCGTCGGTTGTAACTGCCGAGCAGTTTGAGGCTCGTTTCGACGCTAACAGATCATTTGGTTATGTTATATCAAGCCCAGCGGTATACAGCTATTGCATATTTTATAACAAAATAAAATCTCTGTTTATCTTACTAAATTGACTTATAATAAAGTAATACGAGTATAATAAAAAAAGCGCGTTGATGATAAGCCAAATTAATAGTTAGATTATATATACAAGAAGTCTCATTACAAACCTTCTGGCTTCATTACGTTACCGATTCTAACGTTAGTGTTTATTAGTGGCCACTAAAGAGTCCCTTTTCTACCTCCTGACTCCATCATTAGAACGACTGACGAGAAGGTGCTAAGTTTATAGTATTGTCATCAAAACTACATATAAATTAAGAAAATTATTTCGAGACTACAATTAGAAGTATTTTACAATTTACTTCAAGATTTGTTTAATTTGGCATTTTGGCAAATAAGCAGACGGGTCACCTGATAGAAAGCGACTACCGCCGCCCATGAACGCCTGCAACTCAGGAGTCACAAGCGCGTTGCCAGCCTTTGAGGTTTTGTAGGTCGTATCAGTCCGCAATAGCGTGTTTAAAAGCTTGTTTTGTAAAAATTGTCTCCAATCATGTCTTTTGCACAATCCTATACATTGTTATATTTCAATTAGATGGTAAGTATATCCTAGTGTAGTTAAGTTAGCGGCACCTTCTGCTAAATTAATACAAGGCTTGTACATTGTAGGTAATGTGTACGAAACTGTATACATGTACTAATTATATGTGCCGTGTCCCTCGGAGCCGGCGCACTCGGCGCAGGTGTACCGATGTACCTCGACTGGTACTCACGACTCGGCTACGTCTCAATTGCTTCTATTATATTACCTAAGTGTACATAAAGTCGCTAACCATATATAAAGAGGTTTATATGATATGCTTGATGATTCAAGTTGAGACAGTTAATCTTTTCAGTTTAAAATCGGTCTTATTACTCGGGGCGATCTCATACAGACAACCTTAATACGGATATACAATATTTAAACATTTCGGTATTTAACATACACATAACGCATTATCACGTGAATATTAAAAAATATTAACAAAAACATTCTTACACAAATATACATCTGTTGACATTACACATAGATAAATACACATAATGATATAGTAATTTTGAGACGTTATTATTTAATTTACTGGTCAAACAGCCAGGAAGTAACGCGATCAAAAGGTTAATGTTTAATTATTCAGCATGTGTGTGCTTTAATAACATCAATTATATAAGATTCCTCATCACATGGCTATTAGCTTAGCTTGTTAATAAACTTAGTACATGAGAGAAAATGTCCATTAGCATGTCCAAATGATGTACTTCCGCGATATCAGTTTAAGTTTGAGTGTAGTTCTGCACTGACAGAAACCAAAAGCTCGAATCACTCTGATTAGAAAACCTGTACAAAGTTCTCGGTTTATACAGGTATTCAAGAGCTGCTAATCTTTAGGTTACCGGAGATTTTAAAGCAAAACCGTTTAAAATTTCTCTTCGCATTTAACAACAAAAATTACGTCTCAGACGACCTTCCTCGGCGACAGGACTAGTTATTATAAGCGTTATGGAGTTTGTTTAGTAAAAATAATTTATCTATTTTTATATCAAAGTGCTTTCAGTTTAGTGTCTTCTGATTTATACAATTTGTTATTTTTAAACAGTAATCTGAATATTCATTCGCACGGCTGATTTAGTGAACTATTCGGCTAGGCTTTCACAACGCCACGTTGTTATTTATAAGGACTAAAAAGTTTATTCAACTTTAAATACATTGTACCTTGTTTTGTCCTTAGTATGACATTTATTCTTAGATCTTAAGCACGCTATTATCTAAATATTATATAGTGTACACTTGCTTAAAGTGTCTCTAGAAGTATTCTCATGCACTCTATACTGTCATTGTTAGACGATCACTACGACGCCACTGTAAGCGCCTCAAATCATGGTAAACTAACTCCTGGCAGCTGCTTCACTCGCGTTATGTATATTTTCTTAATTAATGCAGGTACCTACATGCCTTTAAATAAATAAATTGTCATTCGCATATTATATTATATAAATTACTTGGGTAGGTTCGCCACGTCACCATAAACAAACCTAAGCCAAGCCTTGGTATAGAATTGTACCTACATACATCACAAATGATGTATATACTTTATAAATACGCTATTAAATTCAGTTTAACGTCCTCCGTACGTGGGTACGCAGGACGTGGAGCGGTCTGAAATAAAACGTATAATAATAATTGAATTGAATCTCATATATCCAGCGTGAGCACGGGCCATTTCAGTTAATTCTGTACTTTATGACGTGATATTTAGCGTCGGCGCCGCGCCGCTACTCCGAGGGCGAAAGGATGCTGGGAGATGTGAACCCACTCACTTTGTGACGAGGATTTGTACGCTATTTAGGCTTATAGTGAAAAGACAATTGTTTTGATGAAAACATTTTGTGACACTATAAAATATACTGAAGTTCTTCAACTCACAATTACTTTGACCGACTTATGAGTCTAGTCGTTACTGACCTAGATCTGCTGGTCGTGGGGTTGATTACCACCCGAGACATTTTTTTATTTATATTTTGGTTTATAAAGGACGAGAAAGGCTATGAGTTATACCCGGGTTATCGTCAATAGACCTCTACAATACGATCGAGACATATCGCTTTTCCGTTAGCCCGTTTCCGTTACACTTACAAAAAAGTTTAAATCAAAACTAGAAAAGCTTATGCGTAAATAGTTAATTCTTCATCATCATCAATTATCAACAGCTTATAACAGTCCACCGCTGAACATAGGCCTCTTTTTAGAAAAGCGGTTTTGGCCTACTATGCCACGCTGACGGGTTGGTATACAATTGGCGTCAAGATTTCCTTTTCTTTACAGGACAAAAGGTCCTACGTGTTTTTTTAAAGACTACTAGCAACCGAAATTACTAGTATTCACGTTATCCCCTCACGTGTATCATGATGATGATGATAAACAATATTGAGAACACCGAGCACTTTGTTGTAATTGCTTTAATCGCTCGCTCTTTGTTGCATTAAACGCTTACCGCAGCACAGAACCGAGTGCAAGTTCATGGTTCAAACGGGCGCCTGATCCTGTGACGGCGCTTAACTGGATAAAGAGCTGCATAATCTCTATACGATGCAGAAGCCTTCTAATGTAATTGATGGAAAATTGTTCTGTAAAGATATTGTAAGTAAATAAATAAATAAAATAAATAAATAACTCTTAAAATGAAAAGGTAACCAATATAATACACGTCTTATAAAATACAAAATTTTGGTTAACGTAATATCTTATAAATATTATGTTTAAAATATTATTACATCAGACATACTTGTAGTACGTTGGGCACAGTGCACAAGAATTCAACATCTGTTAATAAGCCTACTTAAAATTGTTTTCTAATGATACAATTTTATTTTTCTAATGATACAATTTTAATGTATTCAAAATATTTGATGATTAGCAGCTCATAGATACTTCATCTGCTACAGAAGATTTACTTCACAAATTGGAGACTCGGAAAGCGCGTTTCTCCACCGATTGTACATTAAGGTTCTTTACAACGTCCAATACGAACTTTGTGTTGCGTTTTATTTAGTTTTTTCTGTCAGTAAATTGACAGCATACGAGTATATCAGTTATTAGTTGCTATCGGTAAGTATTTAGCGACAGGTAAGTCGTGTGTTTGTGTATTTGAATTTGAATATACAATTTGTTATAAAGTAGGAGAGTAGAGGTGAGATGGTTATCATAGTTCATTTTATTGGTTATATTTGTAGAGTGAATTAATAACCTCCTTGGTTTTCAATTCGACTAAATATATAGTTCTTTTA